AGGCAGAGAACCTTCTTTCTCACCTTTCCAGAAATTAGATTAGTACATTAACAAAATAACACAAACCTCACAAGGTTTCAATCCCTTCTCTGCTTTCTGATACATATTTAGAGAAACTTTAAACAATCTTCTCTTAGGCATGTAGTCTTGTGATTTAGCCACACCCTCTCCACTTTTTGGCTTTATCCTTCAGTAAAATAAATAAGGTAAAAAAAACAAAGTAGGAGTTTTCTTCTTCTTAGAGTGTTTCTGTGTTTGAGTGAATCCTCCTGTACCCACTGATTTAGGCCAGTTGTTGTTCGTTCGTGTTCTTACCACCCACCAAAGAACAGCACAGGATTTAGTTTATATTAATAAATGATGTTCATGACTAGGTTTCTAAATGCCAGCATTATGATTTATTTTTTTAAGGGGTGGAGAAAGGGGAATGGCAATAAAACTAGTTCCTGTCATTCAAAAGTTTTGGCTTTCACACATCCATCTTAGATTTTTTTTTTTGGTCTCCTGTTTGGTTTTATTTTTTGAATAGATCTCTTACTACTCTTTAAGTTACCATTATCATGGGCTCAAATATTTGTTGTCTGTTGTTGCCTATGGATTCAAACAGTGTTTAAGTGCTTGTAAGTGTCCTTATTTATCCCTTCCTCCCATTAAGAATTTCACAATAAATCCCTGCACCAAATAAATTAGAATCTGCAACTTTAGACACCCAAGGAAGAGGCCATTAATCCACTTAGTAAAATACCCAGAACTCCCCCTCTCAATTTCAGCTCTTCTTAATGTAACATTTAGTAATTGCAGCTGGCTCCTTACACTTCCCTCCCTCCCTTTTATTCTGAATCATATTGGCCTTGTTTAACCTTCATTTCCTCTTTTACCCCCCACATTCGTTCACATACTTTTCTTTGACCATGTTTCCTACTCCTCCTCCCCCTACTCCTGGATTGAAGTAATAAATAGAGCTTTCTAAGAGCTTAATACTCTCTGGTAAAATCCAATTGGACCTCCCCATTCTGCTATTAATGCTTTGTACAATTTTTATGCATTCTTCAGTTGTATAGTTACTGCTCTATATTTTCCTGATTGATCATTAAGTTATGCTGGCTTTTCAGAACTGCTTCCATAATCCTGAACCAAAGGCTTTTTACTTGGCATGCTCTTTGCCTTTGGAATGCCTTTCCTGGCAAGGACAGGCATTTTGGTTTGACTACAGTCTTAAATTACAATTCAAAGCTAATTTGTTCACCTAGGCTTTCTACTATGAGCAACTCTGCTTCTCACCATTAAATGCTCCATGATGTTGCTTGGTTGGAGGGTGTGTTTTAAGTAAAAGATGTAATGTACTTATATTGCACTTGATTATCAGTTTTCAAAAACAGCTGCATGCTTTGATATCTGTGTAAGGAAATATCAGGAGATAATATACCACTGGTATTTATTACTCTATAATTAAGGACGTGTCACTGTTTTCCTTTAAAAAACCCTATTTTCAGAAATTCATATCTCAGGCATAAATTTCCCTATGAATTACAGTCTAATACCATATTGCAAGTATCTTCTTTTTAGGTTATCCCTCCCCTTCCTTTTCTTTCTGGGAAAGTGAGTTTCAGGATGTAATTTCTGGGTTATCTACTGGGCTGAGAGGAAGCAGGCCCAATACCACACAACTGAAGATGCGGCTGCTGCTGTTGCCACCTGCTCCCTCTCCTCCTCAGCCCTTTGCTCCAGGTGAGAAAGTGGAGCTACCATTGTAGCCTTATATCCATATGGATGAGCAAATTCATCAGTTCATCATTTTCAAGGCAACAGAGGACAGTCAGTTTCTCAGAAGCACTGCAGGTGCCACAAAGTCAGAAATTTGCAAACCCCAAATCATTTCTTTTCCATTACTAGAATACATATATGTCCAAGTGAAACATGAGATAACTCAAAGGGTGAACCAATGCAACAGTGACAGTCATTAGACACTATGTTGGAAGTGAACTTTACAACTTGGGGAAGGGGAAGGAGGAGTGGCAGAACATGAGGAAGGTGGGTACTACTGTTCAAAAAATGTGCTCATTATCTTAATTATGTAACTGTAACACCTTTACAATAAAATTGTAAAAAGTTCTACAGTAAGGTATTCGCAATGTTCTGGTACATTTTTTTTTTTTTTTGATATTGAAAGGAAGAAAAGAAGAAACAGGTGTGGGGGGGAGGAGGGAGAACGTTTCCCTCTTTTCTAAGGCCTAGTTTTGATGAGTGGAATTGACTACAACCAAAAGAGATAGTCCCAGGAAATCTGAGTTCCTGATCAACCTCCACCACAATAGGACCCAAAGCAGATCACTTTTGTATAGGCATTCCATTCTCCCATACCTAAGATAGAGCAGTCATGAAAATAAAATGCATACCAAGAGGTCCAGGGAGCTTACCCAAATATATTACCATTCAGGGAATGGGAAGCATGTGATAGGATGTAGAAGTGAATGCTTCCCTAAAAACAGAACAGTAGTTATAAAAACACTTAATGCGCTAGCCACAATTTATGGTCTTTTATATCTATTTTGACACCAACAATGTGGACCACAGCATCTCTGATTTCCTTTGCACAAAGGCTACACAGTCCTTCTGAATCACTACGATGCTCTGATCTCTAAATATATCAGTATATGATGCTTTAATTTTCTCATTGTGAGTGACAGAGAAAACATTAAATTTTCAAATACAAAGGACTCAACTTTGCTAGAGGTGGGTTATACGTATGTATTCCTAGGTAGAGTATAGCTCCTTCACTCTATATCCATCTGCTATTCAAATAGTAACTGATAGGAGAGTAGTTTAAGCATTTTAGATGATCTCCTAAAGTCATCACTTCCTTTTATCAATGCATGAAGATAATTAGGAATTTCTCCTAGGGTGAACCTCATGATCAGAGAGGTATGGAAGAGGATATGTAATCACTCAGATAATGAATGATACTTAATGTGCTGACCCCAAATTCTAGTTGGGGAAAATGGACTCAGTATGAAGAATCTGATCTGTGAAGCCAGATGTGACTCCCATGCAACCAGGGCATCCTGAAGATCAGGGGTGAATTCCCTTCTCCTGTGGGGATTAGGATATGGCAGGGACAGGAGACAGCGAAAACCAGCAATGTGGTTAGTGGTCTTGTGTAACATCTGCCTTCATCTTCCTCTCAGTGACCTTCAAAAAGGAGTTCATATAGATGTAGTTTCCCAATTTGTATTTGTAGCGCCACTGGCATCAAATGGAAATAGTGATCAATCACCACCCCACCCCTGCTGCTACCCCAAAGAACCCATGGACTTTGAAGTCTGACTTTCTTTCTCCAGAGTATGACTTGTTTTATGACTTGTTTTAGTGTTGAAGTGATACTCTTGGATCCTGGTAAGCACAGGGAAGTTGCCTCTCTTTCTTCTTTTTTGCTGGTCCTGGGCTTAAACTAAGAGCCTGGGTCCTGTCCCCCAGCTTTTTTTGCTCCAGGCTAGTGTTCTACCACTTGAGCCATGGCTCCATTTCCACTCCTGGCTTTTTTGGTGGTTAATTGGAGACAGGAATCTCACAGACTTTCCTGTCTGGACTGGCTTTAAACCCTGATCCTCAGATCTCAGCCTCCTGGGTAAGTAGAATTACAGGTGTGAGCCACTGATGTCCCACTAGGGAAGTCTTCTCATGCAAAAAGTCCAGACGGGCTTCTGTCACCATTTGAGGGAAATGGTTTTCTGATATAATCAATAGTTACCAAGTGAAGACATGTTAAGAATGACATACTAGAAAAAATAATTTCCCAAAGTATTCATAACTCCTATAAAAAGCTATAACTATTAATACCATTCAAGGCATGTAAGAAGCCATAGAGTAATGTGTAGTAATAAGCCTCTGTATACCTAGCTTAAGAAACAGGTTAAATGTACAGTGAATGTGACTCTCCTCACAGATAATCCTTTTCTTTCTACCTTAAGGCCTCTGAAGTAGCCATTACTGTAAAATCTATAGTCATTATTATAAAGTAGGTGCTGATGCCTATTTTATTCAAATAAGACTTAATCACATCTTTACATATTTTTGAGCAGGAGGTAGACTTGAGTGTTGGCCTTAAAACTTTTATAGTTATATTTTAATGAATATCTTTGAAAGAAAGGGCATTGTATTTGTTGCCCTATATCTCAATTCAGATTTGGAGATGAAACACAGTTGAAGATTTATAATACAGTATCTTCATGGTTAAGTTCTGATAACAAATATTGACCAGTTTTCCACTGAAACAGAGAGGCAGTTAAGTGATCCCTGTCAATATGTTGTATAAGAATAAGAATTACAGAATATGTCAGCATTAAGGCACAATGACTTGAAAATTCATTCTATCACCCACAGAAAGTATCTTGAGACTTAAATTTCTTTTGAGGTTCATAATATTTCTGGGTAGCAGATGCTTCTCAAAACCAGATTTTACTTTTAAAAATATCAAATATAATTAACACCTTCTACATAAAATGAAATCTTTGTTTCCAGATGCATTTCAAGGTGTTGAAATTTATCTATGCTGCTTTGTATGACTAAGCGTTTCTATCGATGTATGGTAGCAACCACCAACTTTGTGTGACCTGTCTGAAGAATTAAGAATGAAAGGAGGACATTTAAACTTAGCTATCAAACCAGGATCTTCTTGGGAAAGGTCCTTTGACATCCTGCACTGGTACTGTGCTTGATCTCAAGGCTTTGAGCTTGCCCAGCTTGCTTATTCAGCTGATGCTGTACTACTTGAGCCATGCGTCTAGCCTGGGTTTTTCTGGTTACTTTTGAAGATGGAGTCTCACAGACATTTCTGCTTGACTAGCTTCAAATTACAGTCCTCTAGACCTCGGTGTTCTTAGTAGCCAATATTACAAGTGTGCTACCAGTACCTAGGCTGAAACCCATTTTTTGAGGCACTACGGATCAACTTGTCCTAAACAAGTAGGTTAAGGACTGAATTTAGGAACAAAAATTTTTATTATTTAATATTATTTAATATAGAAACAAAGAACAAATATTGAATAATCATTCTAGATACTTAGTCAGATTTTGATAACAACAAAACTTTAAAAGACAATGATTTACTTTAAAACAATAAAAGTCATTGAATTAAGTAAGAACAAAAGATACATGAGAAATTTTCAAAAACACATACTAAAAACAAAAATAATGTGGGCATTTGATTTCTTCTCTAAAACCAAGGGAAGCAGGAATTAATCAGTCAAGATGGAATCCTAGTGATCCACCAAGACTAACAAAATAACAATTATCTATGTACACAGGTACTCACACAGATACAGTCATGGCTTTTGCAGTGTTCAGAATTCTACATTTATAAAACTATTGCTTAAATGCATTAGAACCAAATCTGAAGGTATAGTTTTCATGTATCATAAGGTATATGGGAAGGGAATGATGGGCATAGGTAAAGACAAAACAACTTGAATAATAGGTACAGGGGAAAAAACCCTATGTACAGGTCACATTCATTATTATATTTGCCCAAAACCAGGATTATATTTACATATTTTGAATGTACTTGCTGAACAATATTTAATTTTCCTCCACCAGTGGGTAAGGAAACATATGGATAGTTGTGCATATGGGATCTTTATCTATCATAATATTTTCAGGATAAAAATGCACAGGGAAACGAAGCATTGTTTCTTGGCTACAAGATCTATATTATCTTAGAATATGTCATCTGTGATACATCTCGTTAGAGGGCATAAAGTACAACCTTACCCAAGAGAAGTATCTATGAACTTCTTATTCATATTTATGTATCTTCAGTTGGCTCGGAAATGGAGCACCTCTGCCAGATTGCAAGAGGCTGGTGGTGTGGTGGCCCATCACATACTACGGATGTCATACTGGATGTGGAGAGGAATCTGTTCAAAGACTAAGCGTGTAATTTCTGCTTTTTCCTTTATTGAAATTCCAGGACTTATGGACTGAATGACTTTCATTGGTCTGCAAGGCTGCCTCTATCCTGACAGTTATGCCTTGTTCCCTGACTTTCACCTATTTCTTGCTTTTGCCACATAGTACATGGACTCTATTGGGCTTTGATGCCATAGCCTACTCCATCTTGAATGCTTGCTAGAATTCTCAGTCTTCTGGAAGACAGAGAGCAAGCACTGGCCCTAATCTGGCTATCTCTCCCTGGTGGGTCCTCACTGTGCAGTGCATAGAAGGTATTTATTTCAAAAGCTAGGGAAGTTATAATTTACCTGTCAGTAAACAGAAGATGGTTTATCAACAGACTTTACCTTAATGACTACAAATGTTTACCTCCTGCTTTTCCAGAATGCAAAGAAAATCTTGGAAATGTCATAATATCTTACAAACATTTGCAAAACAGATCCATGTTCATCCAGAATAGAAACAATTGTATTCGTTGTCTCTGACAAAGAAAATGTTCAGTGAGAAATATACAGATAGATGCACATACTTCTACGTAAATGAATATGCTAATTAAACACTGCAGTAGGCACTTTATTAAAAATTTATTTCACAATCTAACCATTTAAAACATTTTTATATCAACAAATACAGAATCAGACTATCAGAATCATGAGTGATGTATCTTTCAAAGATTATATTTGTAGCTGCTAGTTTTGTTAGAAGTATTTTGATTTCTCTATTTTGACTCCTGGAAAAAATTAAAGCAAGTATCTCAGTGTTCATTTTATGGGTGAGAGGGCTCCACTGACTGTATCTGCCATGTTTGTTGGAATTACAGCTGTTTATCTTGCAACTTTCTTTAAGATTAATTAAATGCAAATGTAACTCTGTGAATCATGGGAATACCTGCCAGACTTCTTATTAATACCTTCACTTAAAAATTTCTGTGCCAAAGAGTCATTAATTTGCTAAAGGAAAAATGCTAAAGCAGCCCTTTGCCCACATTTTTGAGGTGGCTACCCAATTAGTTGGGGCACATTCGGAGCCTGCATTCAGGCCCTGTGGCCCTTTGAGGACACAGGAAGACTCCGATGATAACCTGGCAACCCAGGTAGAAACCCAGCCAAGTGTGAGCGTTTGAAGCTGCAGTTTGGCTGCCATCGTGTCGGCAAAAAGAAAGAATTCAGGCACCATGTCATCCAGTACAAAGGATAAAAACGGATTCAACCGGAAATTCAATGTGGCACCACATATGGGATACATGAGTGCGGTTATACAACAGGCCACATATTTTTTTTGAACAGTCTCCTACATGTGATGCCGAGGACATGTGTAACCATCATAACGTCTCTAGGAATCTGTATTTAATTTGAGTTGGGGTGGTGGCAGGGATTGGAGATCTGAAGCCGCCACAGGTTTGTGGCAGATGGCTCTGTGTCAGCTATGACAAGCAGCCAGGCTCAGCTTCCTCTGCAGATTTTCTTTTCTCTCTGATCAGGTAAATATGGGCACACTCTGGAAAGTTCTTCAGATTCTGCCTTAGGCTGCAAGTTTGTGACTTAGCCCCATCTGTCACAAATCTTCCTTAGGTTCTCTTGTAAGCAGAGACCTGAATTTACCATGTAGGGCTGCCCAAGAAAACGGAGCTATTTCACCCTGTAATAAGGGGGAAGGAGGGAAGAGAAAGCAATGAAGGAGCATGAACCACTGAAACATGAGAGAAAGTTGAAAACTCATACTGCAAATCTGCATCACTTATATTTCAAAAAGCCACCAACTAAGTGGTTCTTGAGTTCCATCTCCTCAGGAAATCTCTGTTTCTGATTGGTTTAAAGTGTCCCTATTAACTAAAGGGAGAAGCTACTATCATTTTTTCACAAATGAATACATTCTTCTCTGTGTGTGTTTCCTAGTTTATGTTATGGATGATTGCTATTAGAAGTTTATCATCCAACTTTTAACTTTTATAAACATGAGGTACACAATATTCTAAAAGCATGTTTTTGCTAATGTGAATTTTACTTTTAAGCAGTGAAGACACATGATAAATGCCATTTCTATTACAGGGAATTTATATAGTACTTTACATTTACAAATGGGTTTATATTCATTATAGCACTACCTCAGGGGGGAAAATGCTATAACTATTAAAAAATTCTTCTAGATTTGTAGATCAATCATATAGAAACCAGGAAACGACCTACAGCCAGGCTGCAAGAGAAGAGCAGAGAAAGACACAAACAAACTGACATAAAATCAACCTACCTACTGTACTGTTTCTTGCTTTTATTTTATATGGACAGAGCAAAGAAAAACCAAAGTAAATAAAAATGTAGGCAGGAAGTGAAAAAGAAAGAACGAAAGAGAATGAGAGGAAGAAAGAATATATACACATACACACATACACGCTCTCTCTATATACATATACACACACAGACACACACACACACAAATATGAAGAAATGTTTGAGACATAATTTGCCTTCAATTTTGCTGGTACAATTGAGAGAATTTAGTCCTGAAAATGTCACAAGCACTTAAGTTTTCATTTTCAATGAGAAAGTATGGACTTTGGAGGAGTGCTGATACCATTGAACAATACTCTGTTCACATCTAGAATGTAAGCTTTTATTAAAAAGGGACTCTAAAGCAACCCGTCTCTTGAAAGAAACTTAAAGTGGCTTGGCTGTGGTTCGGATAGATGTAGCCTGACATAATTAAGACAACCACAAATGGCTTTTCTGGGCATTTCATCTGAATTATAAGCTTAATAATTGTTTGGAATTAGTTTTAGGCAGAAATCTGAAAATTATTTTCTCTTCCTAATTACAGAAGATGATAAAGTTCTCTGGTCTGTTGCAATACTTGAAGAGGAAGACAAACTAAAAATCAAGCTATCACCTGAAAAACCTTTAAAGAAAACTATGTCATTCTCAAAATGCAAATGAAAGAACATTATTTCATTCCTTTTTGCCACACAGAATATTGTTCAGTTTGTAGATAAAAGGGTAAACAGGGTAAGAATAAATTCTTTGTTTCTTCAAGTGTTGTCTATCCCATAGAACTGCTTCACTGAACATACTCTAGTTCTGTTTTCAATACTGACAGAGTACTAATGTTTTTAACATTTAAAAATAAAATGATTAAAGACTATACTATCTGAAAGAATTAAGTGCTAAGCTCAAAGAATAGGTGAAAAATTTCAAGAGGTAAAAATCATACAGTAAAAAAAGGGGCAAAAATTGACAATTTCATGATACAGACAGATTCGCTTGGGGTGGAAAGGATAACTATTGTTAGTATAGAAGTCAATCTATGACTTGTGAAAGTTGTGTTCTAAAGAAGATGTAGGAGTCTAAAAAAGTGGACGAAGTACAATCAATTGTTTCTATGCAATTAGATGGTCAACACATGTATCTAACAGGGAGAAGAACATACCTTAAAAGTTGAAAGTATAATATGTTTTTAAGAAGTTATTTTAGCATTCTAAGATTAACAGACATTTAACTTGTGCATACATTGGATTTCTTTAAAGATCTTAAGAAAATCGTGTGTATATCAGAGAGAGAGGGAGAGAGACAGACAGACAGACAGAGGGAGACAGAGAAAGCACAGACAAGAGAGGACAGTTGAATACACACAAATTGATACGTTAGTACTGAAATAATTTCAGATGAGAAATAATGGACACAGAATTCAGTACTAAAAGGAGTCACTTTAAGAAGAAAAAATTGTTTCTGCTCTTCAGTAACTAGCATTCTGTTTCAAATTCTGCCCCCCAAATTCATCATATTGAAAGTATAATGTCTCATGTGAGAAGAAAGCCAAGTGTTAGTAGCCTTATTCCAGTCATTAAATTTCTATGTGTGAATCCATATGAAAACGCCTATCCTAAAGTGAACTCTATGTGAAAAGGAGTTAAAATGATTTTAAATGTAAACTTTTAACAACAAAAAAGAATAAGGTGTAAAATTGTAAAGCGAACAAATTAAAGAATTCAGTGACATTCTATACTTTTAGATCTTAGAAGCATATGCTATATAAAAGCAAAACAACACTGTCCAATGGAATAAATCTTATAAAAGTCTCACATTCTCTTTGCAGAACACACAAAAGATCCTCTTCAGTTGTATTAAAAAAAGAGGCAAAAAACTACTTTGAAGAAAATAATTCTTTTGTGTGTGGGGAAAGCAAATGTTACAATGCATATGTGCACTTTTACAAACATAAGGTGAAAATTTATCATAATTTATTGTATCTTTAGAAGGCATTATTTTGTTTTGAATAGAAATCTTCTTTTCTTTAAAAATCAGGCCAATTTTGCTCCTTCCTATAATTTTTAACTCCACCCTTTGCAGAATGGTAGTTTCTCCTAATAACTGCCTGATAAAGCTCTCAACCACTTATAATTTTGGACTAATTTCTTTGATTTTGGAGATTAACTTTTAGATACAAAACCACTAAAATCTCTGAATTAGGACATACATGAAGGCATTTACAGATTCATAATTAAAAATCTATGGTAAAATACTTAAATTATACAGAGTACATTTTTCTAAACACTTATGCATGAATTACTAATTTATAAAACCTGAAGTCTGAGGATTCTGTGATGTACAATCTAAAAATATATGCATGTACCAGCATGTAATAACTCAATGAAGTAATGTTTAAAGCATAGGTATATTTTAAGCTATATGAAGAAGAATTTTGTATATTAACATCATATCATTAAGTAAACATTTGCTCACAATTTTTCCAGAAGTTGTTTGTAAAACAATTACAGCTATGTTATGGCAGTAACTGTATTAAAATACTTCAACGATAGAGCTTCTTTCTTTTCTTACTAGAGACAACTTGTTGCAATAACTTTTGAAATGGTTAAAAATTCACAGATGTAGAATAAAAGAGTTAACAAGGCCTAGCCTAAAGAAACACTTAAAAAAAACAAAACTGATAAATTTTGATGATAGAAATTTTGATGATGGAAACAAAAAAAAATCAACTTTTTTTTTGAAAATAGGTTCATGTCATGTGTAGAAAATGCATCAATTAATATTTCACAATCACTTTGACTATCTCATGGGAAACTATCCAATGTGTGTTTTATACAAACAAAACTGATATTGAACTTTAAAAATGAGGAAACACTGGGGCAAACCTTGAAGGCCTACATTCTCTGTGGGGCTTCGTGTGTAGACGATACAATGGGATTGACTCACAGAGTGATCCTGAAGCCTGGAACTGTGCAGTCAGCATTTTAAACTATTATGAGCTACCTTCTGAACCATTGCCAAGTTAATAGACAATGAAAGATAATGAGCTTGAAATTGGGTGTTAAATTGCATTTTTGGTCTCTCTCTTTTTCTTGAAGTTTAACTGTTTCCTGGAGAAACAAAGTCATGTTTTGATATATCACTATGTAAATATGTATTTTAGGCCATGATGAAGGAGAAATAAAAGGCAGAGAACTGTACTTCATGTAGAAGGTTATATGAGTAACATAGGAAAATTAAATGTTATAAAACTCCTAAATTGTAAACTATATAGAACGTATGCAAAATGAAGATGTTACATTCAAAGAATATAAAAGGATATTACTTATGCCCTAGAGCCACCTTTGAAACTCATAAACCAGATTTATCCTACTTCAATTACCTTGAGCTTCAGTAGGGCCTCTTTGTGTGGCTACTTCAACAATGTAAAATTTTTTATTCATATAAGGGACAAGATAATGAACGAGGGGGCTGAATGATGATGCTATTTATATATTCTATTTTTCCTCTTGCCTTTGCCACTCACAGATGAGACTGACAATCTTCATTCTAAACAAACTGAGGACTTTTATGTAATGTTATTAAACAAGACTGGAGAAATATTCAACTTTTGAAAGTCATCTTTATAGTAGTTCAAAAAACAAAACCAAATTTCACTAATGTCATTCACCTGAATTTTTGAGGACTCAAGATTTCATTATGATGGGAAGAAAGGCTTGTCCTCATTAGTATAATTGTAGAATCTCTTCTTTACTTCCTTTTAAACTAATGAGTTACATTAATCCAGGTTCATTTTTATAAGCCTCTTGGGGCTAAATGTAAAGGACAGTCATCTTAGAAAACAATAAATTAAAAAAAGCATGTACTGTGCATTAAGTGCACGTACTTCATAAGACCTAGGTTAATACAACTGGCATCCAGTTTAATTAATCCTTGTTAGTGTAACAACTAATATCCCTCCCTAGCATGTTTCCTTTAAACATTAGTATGTTAATTAAATGTTTTTTTTAAGATTTTTTTTCTTTGTATTTCAATATGGTATTTATGCCACATAAATCTCTTCTCAATAGCTACCTTATAGAGATGTTTCCTTACAATATCTGGTCTCTTGCAGAAATTCTGGAGTCTTTTTGAAAGCTGTTCAGGTGTAGAATACAGATATTCAGCTGCAGGAAAAACAGATACATTTTTAATGAAACAAAAACCTCAAAGCACACACTCGATATTAGTCACTTTACTAATTAAAAATGCATATTGCTCTGTGCCGCCTCATGTTTTACATTATTTAAGCATGATTTTATAAGGTTACCTCAGCTCACAAGGATGTTTAATGCTAAATAAGACTGTGTAGTTGTGCTGTTTAGACATCTCCTCTGGGTGATTAAAATACATTATTCTAATGTAACACAATGCATATGTGATATATTTAGTGATGAGGATCTTTTCAAAGAACTGGTACTATAGCCGTATGTACCCTGTACAACAGTTGCATATTATTAATTAGTCAATTGTTTAAATAATTTGGTGTGACTTTCAGTCCTTGATTTTTCTCAGTATATATCATTAAAAAAATCTGTAAGCAATTGGAGCTACACTGACCTGCTTATAAAAATCTATCATTATGTATGCTAACAATGAAGAATGCTATTTGAAAACTGGCTTTTTTGTTATCTTAAAAGAACAGATGGTAAATATAAGCTTAGTCTAATGTATTAAAACACATAAAATTTTCCTTAACACTAACATGTTGACTTGCCAAACAAACAATTGCTCCTGCCTAAGTTTATTTTCAAACTTTCTAAATTAGCATGAATCATGTATTAAATAATCACAACAAAGACGAAAGCACATTAAGGCAGCTACCTGGAAATATTTCGGGATAAACCAAATCTTTGGGACAAAGTGGATAACAACCACAGTACACAGCTTCCAACCTAGAGAAATTTTAGAAAGAAGATACAAACATATTTTTAAAAATCCATTAGCATTATAGACAGAAAGTGGTTCTATTTGTCTAAGCTAACAGTGTGAGCTCAGAGTTAAGTGGGACAAAATAGAAGGTCGGCAGTACAATCCTAAAAGCAGAAGTTGCTCTTTTAAAAGATTTTATTGATCATATACAAATTTCATAGAACAGAACCAACAGCATATGTTTTGTTCACTGAATTAATCAAAGCTCAGCGCTGTATTTTTTTGTGTTTTTAAAATACTGTTTAACACATTTTATAATCAGCAGATAAACACATGTAACAACATAGTAAAGTATGGACAGCTTTTCCTAATAATGCTGCAAAGATTCAGAATGTTCATTTAAAAAATGTTTAAATAAAATAGCAATTACTTAACTTTAACACTGAAGCCATAGAAATGACTGAGGCACTTTTAAAAACAGCAGAAAAAAAAATCACAAGCTGTTGTGACGGGGCATTTCATTTTAAGCTCATGCTTTGAAACCATTTGTTATTATGCAAAATGTAAATCTTTGTTAAAAAAAACTCTTGAAGATTCCTTTAATGAAGATTTTGATTTTTGTACTAAAAATTCAACCACACTTTCTTTCCATTGTATCAAGAAAGTATAATTGTATTATTAAGCAAATATGCACCCAAATTTTGCATTGTGAGATTTCCCCACAGACACCTATGGAAAGTTTCTGCACATGACCATGGGAAGGGTTAAGTAGAGGAAAGGTATTGTCTCTAGATGGTTGTGTTATGACCACATAATGGCTATTGATCTGACATGTAATAAAGATACCACTGCCATTTCTGTTGGCTAGAAATTATGCAGTGAAATTCAAAACATTCTTTTATAATATGTTTATTTGATGAGAAACTTTGAATTGCATCCAAAATGTTGACCAAAGGCAGAATTTATTTTGAACTGCAGATTTTTTTCAGCCCAAGAATTAATTTGAAGTCATGTCAATGTTTACCTTGTTTATTTACAGTGACAAAGTACATGAAATTTAAACTGTTTTTAAGTGAGTGCTGTTTTCTGTATTTTATTACCCTAAACAAATTAGTTTAAAGGCAAAGTATTTACTTTGAGCTGCAAAATTTGGAGAAATACTGGGCTCCAAGTTTTGATTGAGAATTATGAGAAACGCAAGATAACAACAGTAGTAGAAAGGCAAAGGCTCTATGTACAAACTATTAGTTTCAGAATCCAAATTAATAGTTAATTTTTTCTTATATATGTGGTACAACACATAGAAATCTGTAATACATACACACATATATAAACCATACTGTATTGTACTGTAAAATATTAAGAAAACTTTTTCGCATATAAACCCGTGATATATTTCATGAACCACAAGAAAATATGCATTTTATCCAAAGACATTCAGTTTTTAAACACTGTGCCAACAGAAAAGCAAATGCACAGGAACATTCTCTTGTAATTACATAAAATCAAGAGTGAAGTCACAGGCATTTCAGAGAGCGCACATGTTATCTGTTTTTTAATAATAGATTTGAATTCAAGTATTCGGTTTCCCGATAGAAAAAGCATAGCCCAACTTACATTTTGATTCATTACATGAGTAGTTACCATGCCATGTCCCAAAAACCATTGCTAATTAAAATACCCCACATTAAGATGAGGACAGAATTATTAGATTTAGGAAGAAAAATAATAAATTTTGGATTTCAACTTTTACTTGTAAATTATTCATAGGTATATTTCTAATTCATCAAGAAACAACCACTATTTCATTTGGATGTATTTTTCAACTTGTCAAAATAGGAATCTTATTATATATATTATTTAGATCCAGACTATGAGTCACAATACATGAACAAAGCTGTAATATTTAAAACAAAATTTATACATCCATTTTCATAAGTTTCTCATATTTTGTTATTTTGAAAAAAAATCATCTCATGGCAATAATACAATTATTCATCATTTCGATCCTTATGCACTACCAGTTAAATAATAAATAGGGTT